GGTACAGCTGAAGAGAGAAATAAAACTGGCCTTGCACTGCAGTCAAATTATAAACCTGTGCTTAACTTCCCCCCTCAATTCTTCTATGCTTCCAATGATTCAGAAACTTTTCTCACCCATTCCCATTCCATATCAAACCAAATAATTTAACTGTAGCCACAATGAATTCTTTGAAGTCTCCTCAGAAACTACAAAGAAAGGATTTTCCACTTGTAACTATCACTTCCCTATTGTGCAAAAAGGATATAAACATGCCCTAATAGCCTTGCACAAGACATACAGCTAACACGATATTCTCCACTGCTAAACACTTCTATCAAGATGTAGGTTACAAGACGTAATCCTGAAGAATGCAATTATTATTTTTAAACTATCTGACTTAAGATCCAAGCACTGAACAGGTCAAAGTACTGCTACAGCCACAGATGGAATAAGGCATTACACACTGATGGAAATCACATTCAAGCAAGGGAAACAGCTTAAATAGTATTAGTGACAGAAGCAGATTTGTTCATATAAAGAAAATGCTAAAAACTCCACCATTAGCTTGCAAACATCTACAGCAGCTATTTATGATAAAACATAAGATAAAGTTGGGTTAGAAACAATTTCAAACTGATCACAACAAAGTCTAGAGGCTTGTCATACTTGACACTGAGAAATGTATGTTAAACTAAAGAGAGGAAAAAAAAACTTAGGAAAAAACTCTCCTCCAGTCATTTTAATGTTTCTGGTACAACACAGGAGACAAACCCATGTGTGTGTCTTTCAGTCTTACATCCTCATGAAATCCAAGCAGTCTGTACACTGAATTGCTATGACTAGAACCACAAGACTTTTATGGCTACCTGCTTGTGCTTTAGGATGCAGATCTGTCTGTTAACTCACACAGCACACCGCTGTACTAACACGTTGCCCCTCCTGAATTCCTCAGTGACAAGAACTTGGTGTTCAGCATACAAGAGCCACACAGTTACCATTGCTGTTGCTGCAGGGCCAGGACTTAGTCTGGACATAGATTAGAGACAATAAAGTTTAGAAATACATTCTGTGATTCCTAATGCATATCAGATCTTGAACCAGATGCTGTAGAAATGCTCATTTGATAAGTGGCCTATGCTTCCAGAGATAATAGGACAAACTTGATAGCATACAAGGCAATACCCTTACACCAATGTAGCTGTTCTGAAAATGTGGAATGTGATTAGTTAACTCTCTAACTCTGTGGGACTGATAACAATATGGTAACCTGTATAGCTAATGATTCTTAATATACCGTTAAAGTGGGTAAAAAGCACTTGCTATCGTTTCTTTACACCTGTAGAACGAGCTGTACAGTGCTGAGATTTACTGATGTTAATCAAAAGATATGTAAGAATTAATCCATATTCTGTAAGCTAAAATGATTTGAAAATGCAGGGTGAGCAGTTCAGAAAAAAATTAGGACTGCTGTAATGTTGTAGTTTTACAAAGCAGAGTAATTTAAATCAGAACATTTCTGAAATTTTTTCTCTGAACAATTACTTAAGAAGAGAGAATTTTCAGAACTGCCTGGGAAGCTTCCCTTACTTTAGACTTTTTTTATATAAGCAGCCATCCTAAAGAAAAAGATTAGTTTACCACATTTCCTTCCATAAAAACATGCATTACGTAATTTGTTTTAAAAATAAGTAAACAAAATTATGGCAGCTTGTATTTCAAGTAGCCATATATGGTTATAAGATCAACTGCTTCCACATCCTAAGGCAGGCTACAGAGGACTGACTACAGGATTCAGCTATTTGAGGAAGGGCTACCACAAACAATCCAAGATTATTCATAAACCCTTAATAGCCTTGATTCTTTTGCCATGAGTTCTTTTGGATCCAGAAAGAAAAGTTTGAAAACCAAAATGAGAAAAAAACCTCAAAACATTTAAACCCTAGAACATGTTTGGCCAGGAAAAATGGATATACTTCCTGATTCTACTTTGGACAGATCCCTCAAAGTTGGATCTAGCAAGTTTTCTTAAATGGGTGCAAGAATCACGTGATCTCTATTACTGGATACCATGTAGCTTCTTTGTTGTCACTTTTTTCTGACAATCACACTTACATTACTTCCTTCAATACCCAGAAAAACACTTACATTATTTTTATAGCAACTACTAAACAACAAAACACAGGCACGAATGCAGCAGGCCAAGGCTTTGTTAATTGACTACATGATCTCAGTATGGTAAAATCCCTCTTTTGGGAAATGAAAGAGGAAACGAGACACCAGTCGTACCTGGGGATGTTCTCCTGTTATATCTACGCATTTCCATATGTACACACCCATGTGCCTTACAGTATTAGTTTTTCTCCAATGCACCCTTTCTGAGGAATATTTCCTATTGAAGGGTAAGGACAGAAGGCTGATAACTGAATTAAAAATTTATCTTAAATATTTGTTAAATACAGAGTAGAGAAAAGAACAGAGGCCTATCTGGTTTACATAAATATTTCTGAAGCTGTATTCATGTAAACTTTTGCTTATATAAGTTTTTGCTGTTACCTATTTAGAATCTACATCTACCATTTTTCTCTGGAGATATATCCTTCTCACAAGTAAAAGCACCTGCACTTTCAGAACTGATGATGCTGTAACTTACAGAGACATGTTTTGATATTGAAGATTCCTTCAGGTACCCTGGCACTGTAACAGTTAACTATATAACCCACACATGATACATATTAACATCGGTGATATATCAGCATAGATTAGAAATGCTGCTGGGTACTTAAGGGGATGTTCCTCCCCCAAACCCCATGGCTTTTTCCCCTCGTCCTTCAATAACCTCCATACAATTAGAGAGAGCTCCTCTTACCGCAGTAGTTCTATCTAAAGTCTAGTGCTTTTGGAAAAGATGAACATTCTGAGACTCAAATGCATAAAAAGCATTTTGAAAATTTATCTGAAACGTAAGCAAATAGTAAAAATTCCCTGCTTCAACATGTTTATCACAAATTCATTTGAAAACACCTGTTACAATACACCAGATGCAAATATATAGACTTGGAATGTCCAGCTTTCTAGATCCAGTGTATTTCCACCAGTGCAAAAAATTTTAGATCATGCACCTCTTATAAACGTTGCCTGAGAATACCATTTAAGAAATATATTTGGTTGTCACCAAAAAGTATGATATACTAAAGCTTTTCCATCAAAACTAGAAATTTAGTACATGCACAAAATCTTCACTCACATAAATAGCGGATTCTACTCGAACTTAGACAAAAAAACTTAAGGCTCATTTTCCTCCTGATAATCAGAGATGGACAACTCATTCACTAGCATGTATCTTTTTATAGGAGTGAGATGCTTATGTTAGAATCAGGTAGTAACAAAGCAGAACAGAACCAGAAACAAACTAATGAAAGCTGTTTGTTACACTTACTATAACTTTTAAAAAAAACCACTAAATATTTCAAAACTAGAAGATTTTAACATTAACAACATACCTCACCAGTTGTCCACCATTTTGCACTTAGAACAATTTTGGAAAAGAGTAAACACAGATTACTTAGTATGAGAAGCTAAACTATGTCATGTTTTTATAAAAAAGGATAGTAACTGGGGATGTATGAAGGGCATGAAAGATAATCTTTCTGCTTTACACAGCACTAACATCTCAGCTGGACGTCTTTGTCCACCACTGTTCTGTGTCTCATAAGGATGGAGTTATGTTTTCCTTACAGCAGTCTGTATAATGCTGTGTTTTGGAGTTGTAACTAGAACAGCATTGATAACACATCCATGTTTTAGCTACCGCTGAGCAGTTCTTACAAAGTGTCAAGGTTTTATATTTCTTACTTTGTCCTACACAGGCTTGAGGTAGGCAAATTCTGGCAGGGTGCGGAGCACACAGCCATGTTAGCTCACCAGAACTGGCCTAAAGGATACTTCATATTATATGACAACATGCTCAATAATAAGAACCAAAGGGTAGTTTTTCCAGAGAAGCTGCTGCTCAGAGACAGACTGGGAATCAATCCATTTATGGGAAACTGTGAGTGCCTTTCCATCACTCTTTC